TCTATCTTAGGAATTAAACAATATCACCTAATTTTGCAAAAACTGTAGTTATTGTTATTGTAGGTACCAGAAATAAATGCAATATCGTATACAGATATTATTAGTAGTAAAAGAATTAATATTTCAGAAAATATGAATTACAGTTTAATTTCAGTTTCCGTAAATTAGTTCACTAAGATCTATATTGTATATATATGCAACATTTTTATAGTCTACTTATAGTATATCACATATTATATGTTAATATATTTTTGTGTATTTCTGCTTACATACACGATTAATTTTGTGAGAAGGAAAATTTAAATTTAAAGTGCTTTTCGACAATGGTACCAATCTGAAACGTCGAAGAAAGAAATACATGTTGCAAACAGCGTAAACATGGCCTCGATGAACGAATACGGTATTCCGCGTATTTTAGCAAGATTACAAGCGTCCATAAATTCAAATAATTTTTATGAAGCTCATCAAGTGTATAGAATTTTATATTCTAGGTGAGCCAATAATATAATTTATTAACATGATCAAAGAATTATTTTAGTGCAATCATCGATGTGACTACTTAACCTCTTCTTCCAGATATCTTAAAGAGCAAAACTATTCGGCACTTTTGACATTAATGTATAAAGGAGCTACTAATTTATTAGAGCATGAACAAGTATGTAATCCATCCTATTAGATTTAATTTTATTCCTTTTGAGACAATTATCCCATTATCGAGTACTTCTTCGAAATTTTATTTTCGAATGATTCGTATTTTAATTTATATATACTTTAATCTTCCTTTTGTTAAAAAAATATTTTATTACAATTAATTTCTCTGTAACTATATACTACAATATTTCAAGTATCATTCAATTAGTTGTGTTTACATATTATTATACATTTTTTCTATTACATATATTTTATAATAATAAGTAAATGTAAGCAGATTTTTTAAATAGAATTATTTTTTATTGCAGTATGCCAGTGGAGCAGATTTAGGAATTTTATTTGTAAACGTATTAACGAAATCAAAGACAGAACGTTCCCCATATTATTTTAAACAAGTTATAAAATTATTTAGTTTAATGAGCCCTTCATCACCTGAAAGAGACACATATGTACAATCAGCCCTTCGATGGAGCATAATAAACACAAAATACAAAACAGGTCATCCCATTTTGCATCAAAAGATGGCAAAAGTATTTTGGAAAGGTAATTGAACAGAAAAATGAAAGATATTAATAAGATTTTATTAAGAAATTAATTATATTTTATTTCAGAAAAAAATTATGTAATGGCAAAACAGCATTTCATACATAGTACAGATGGTCGTGGATGTGCAGCAATGCTTGTTGAATATCATGTGCTACGTGGTTATACAAATGAAATAGATCTTTTTATTACTCAGGCAGTTTTGCAGTAAGTGTATATATTACTAATTTTGCTTAAGAGGTAACATGACGATAGTGGCCCAACAATTAAGCGCTTCTTACATTATTTACTGTGAATATATAAATAAATAAATGGGACACTCACATAGGACTTTCATATACATGTTTAGGAGAAATCTTTTTTGCATTCTTCAGAACATATATAAGAAAGTCCTACAAGTCGGTTTTCCTATTTATTTATTTATTTACTCATAGTTAATAATTAAAGTACATGTTTTTTGGACTGCTACTATAGTGTTACCTATCAAGTACAATTGTTACTAATTTAGGAATCCTATAAAATCTGTGACTATAACTTTTCAGATACCTGTGCTTACGAAATAAAGCAACTGCTCAGGAAGTTTTCAATCGTTATACTTCGCAACATCCGAAAATAAACAGCGGTCCACCGTATCTTCTTCCATTACTGAATTTTTTATTTTTTCTATTGAAAACGATTGATAGGTAAGTTTAAAATAAGAATCATTAATTTTTAGACGTTATGTATTTATAATTACTTTTTTTCAGTGGTGAATTTGATGTATTCACAGTACTTTGCGAACAATATCAAATATCTCTAAATAGAGATCCATGTTATCGACAGTACTTAGACGAAATAGGACAATTGTTTTTCAATATTCCGTCGCCACGTCCACGCCAGGGGATGTTGTTTGCTAGTCTTTTATCATTTCTTAATGGAAAGATTGAAAATTCAGATTCAGATTCAGAAGATTCATATGATGCGCAGAGAAATGTAGCTTCAACTTCATACACAACACAGGAACTCGACTGATCAAAAGTTAGACGTTACTGTGCGAAGTGATGAGAGTAAATAATGAACTTAAATAC